GAGGGCTGCCAGTTCAAGTCCAGCACAGACCACAATATGGAGTTTGGACTGGAGAAGTGCCAGTTCCACCTCCTTTGCACTGCCGAGGTGCCCTTTAGCAAGGTACCATACCCCTAACTGCTCCTGGAGCGGCGCTACGTGGCAGCCCATCACTCCATCATCTCTCCACATTAACCTATCGATACGCCCTGTTTGTGCATGATTGTATTTCGGGCCTGTGTGTGTAAACATCTGCCTCCTTCCTCACTCAGTAGAGTTTGATCTAACTGTTGTCCACTTTGAGGCAGGCCTCCTCTGCAGTGTTCTCATTATCCAGAACCTGAAGCTGCATCCTTGTCTTATTCTGTTGCTCAGGGCCCTTTTCTGTGGAGTATTTGGTTCAGTTGTTCTCAGCCTGATGGTCTGCCACTTTGTGACCTTTAGATGTGTAGAAAGCTCTGAGGGCTGTAGCCAGCTGCTGAACTTTCATGGCCCTCTGCAGCTGTATCTCGGCCATGGTTGGTCAGTTCTGACAAAGCTTTGCAGTTGATGAGCTTTGGCTCCTAAACATTTTGGGTGCTCTGTTGAATAGATGGATTGTTTTTTATTCCCCAAGTCATGTTGTGCTCTTGTGTTTCATGCTGTCTTGGATTTGAGAAACACAGTTATTGAAGATATTCTTGTGACTGACTAATAGTAGACTTCAATCACAAGAAAACGGAGTTATAACTGAAAATAAATAGGACAGTATGTAGGTTCTCAGATTACCACCGCATAAACATAAAAATCAAGAACAGAAGTGTATTTTAAGATAAAATGAAACATTTCTCATGTATTTGACTTGTATAAAGGAGTGTCTAGTAGCAAATGGCAATCATTAGTAAAGCAGCAATTGTTAAAATAAGAATAAACTTGGTTGTGCCCAACTTCCAACAGGCTGCACATGGACAATCCACATGCATGGGAGGGGGTCAAGGAAGATCCGAAACATGCTGACAAGGTGATCCTTTTCATTTATTCATTAAGTTCAGTCGTTGACTCATCACATTTGACTGGTTAAATGATTTGTCACTCTCTTCACTGTCAAATGAAGAGGTCATTTAAGCCCACAGTTGTTTGGAATTAATTGGTTCCAACGATTCATCTTCCAATTTCAATCTCACAACACCCTGTCGTTTCCTCTCTACCACAGATATAAACACACACACTTGTAGCATTTCTGTCTTTATTGTAGCCCCGGGCTAACATTAGTGCAGACAGGTAGGATAACAAGTGTGATTAAGGTTAATAATAGCATTACATCAGACAGAGAGTGTACGTGTTTCTGTGTAATTGTGTGATTGTGAGAGAGCGTGTGTTTCTGGTGATGTGCTTCAGTTTGATTAGCAACAAAGTCCCAAAATTACCCTCCGCCCCACTCTATTTTCCTTTATGGCCCTTCATCTCATCTGATCCTGTGTAGCGTTGTTTTGTTTTTTTTTAGACTTGTCCACTCTGACTTCTTTTTCTACCTCTTCCTTCTCTTGCTTGTTTTTTTCCCCTCACATTTGTTTCAAGTGGAAAAAATGATTTAAACTAATTATGTCAGCCCATTGAGTTATTTATTTTCTGAGAAGGAAGTGCCAATACAAGTCTACAAGCTTTAAAAGGGATTAAGTTTGAACAATGAAGGTGATCATTAAGCATATTTTAAGATGGCACAAACAAACTCAGGAGAAGTTTAGTCAAAAGGCCGATGTTGGGTTTTCAGATGTACACTTTTATATATTAATTCCATTCAGATTCAAGCTCATAAAGACACTTTGACACTGAGGCAAACTGACTGTTGGCTAAGCCCCCGGCACTCATTGGTACTGTTGCTACATCTATCAAGTTTCCATTCTAGCAAGGCACAGTTTACAATGATAAATTCAAACTGACAACGGGTCCTCGACTTAAAACGGAAGTAGACTAAAGCCGTCTTCTTATAGTCAATTTCAGCTGTAGTTAGCATATTTTATTAGCTTTTATTCCATGAGTTGAATCAAAACTCCAACCATGGTGTCATTTTTGCGCATTCTTGCTCCTGTTAAAGACACAAACTCTTTTTTTATGGCTTATTCTTCTTACTACAGCCTCATTCCCAGTGCTTCAACATGTGGAGAAATCCAAAGAGCAGCAGTTACAGTTGCAAAGCTATGATTGGACAGTCACTGTTCAATTAAATTCATATTCTTATTTTAACTTCTTCTAATCTGCCCCAACAGAAAGGGACCAAGGGATCTGACGAACAGAGATCAGGTGTCAATACGGTCAGAGGAAGTGGGACTCCAGGTGAAGTGCATCCTGGGACAAATCAAGACATGGGAGACGAGGAGGATGAGGAGGAGGAGGAGGAGGAGGAGGAGGATGAAGAGGAGGAGGGCAATGAGCATGAAGAAGATGCAGACCCTGGGACACCTGCGAAGTCAGGGATCCTGACTCGACTGGCCAGGTTGGTATGACGGCCCAGTGGGCAGTGTGGTCAGGTTCAGAGCAGCCAACCGTAGACAGCATCCTGCTAACATGCTACAAGCTAAATGTGAACAATTAATCATCAGATCAGCAAATGTGCACACAGCAACCCATAGAGATTATGATTATGTCATTGTGTTATTTATAGATTTGATTGAGTTTTACACCCACAGGAGAAACAAGAGCTAATTGGTGCCGAAAGAATAAAGTTGTCAAAGATTAAAATGGATTGGGGAAATCCAGCTATTATAAGCACTTAAATCACAATATTCCTGTGAAACGTCTGTTGAGACAAGCTGAGACCGCCAGATGTCCTCAGGCTTATACAAGACTGACAAAAGTATCTCCTGTTTGCTGTTGAAAGAACCCGACCACAATGTTACAAATATTCTTATGGTTATAACGACATACAGTAGCAGCTTTATGGACTGTAACAGTCTGTCTTTCTCTTTGCAGCCACATCTTCCCCTTCTCCTTGTTCTTCAGAGACCCCTGAGAGCCGTGGCACACAGACATGAGGTGTTACTGGTTCCATTAATGGAAACTTACTGGGGTTTGTTCTGCACTGAGGAACAAAAAAGGCTTTCACAGATCTGTTTTCACCATTGATCTTTTATATTAATGTTGTGAGTGTTGTTCTCACTCTGAGATTTCTCCTCTTGTTCTCTTATCATACTACATATTTGATGTATTCTATTGCCACAGAGTTGGAGGGTCTATTTTTTTATGCTGTTGCTCTTTATCAAATAAATAAATACTATCTTCTTACTCCATTCATGGTTGTTTTTTATATTGTTTTGTATATAGATTATGGATGGAGACGTGGCTGTCAGCTCGTGTCATATCATAGCACCAAGAGCAATAAGTGAGCTTTCTCTTTCATTCTTATCCTATATTCTTGGACTTATCTTCCCTCTGCACTTCTCTGACTTTATAGATGTCATAGATATTATTACTTCTGGATCTACTTTCAGGGTTTTTTTTCTCCCTTAATGTCTCAGGTTAGCATCTTCGATTCTGCTACATTTAGCTTTGCTTTTATGATCTATGACCCCGTCTGCATGTGATTTTTTTTCCCCAACACTTTTCATTTGCTCTCAGTTCAGATACTTTTCTTGTGTACGCTAACCTTCAGAGTAATGTGATCATCTGAGCATTTCTCCAATCAAACCAGCATTTTTTTAAATGAGTAATTACTCTGCATTCATCATGTTTTGTGTAGTTTTAGGGTCTGTAATGTAAAACGTGAATGAGCAGGAACACATTCCAAGACTTTATTCTGGTAAATCTTGTAGACAATGCAGCTCTTTCTTAATTTTTAAAGAAATGTCCTCTCCCATGTGAGTGTATGTGTGTGTGTGTGTGTGCGTGTCGTCATTAAGTGCACACCTTGAGCTTCAGTGAGTATCACCTTGTGGAAACTCCACTTTCCTCCTGTCAATCTAAATTAGCTAAATGTTCTACCTGTGTGTGTGTGTGTGTGTGTGTGAGAGTCTGTCTGTCTGTATGTGTGTGCATGTGTGTGTTGCAGTTGTATATTTAGGGCCAACCAGTCGCTAATATGCCAAAAAAAAACATTTAATAAAATAAAAAAGTTATCGATTAACTCAAAAGTGACGTGAGCGTGTGTGTGTGCATGCGTGTATCCATGCTTGCATGCATGTGTGTGTTTATATATGGGGGTAAATGGGTCAACTGGACTGAAACATCATCTTAGAAACAGGAAAACTTTGCCTAATCCTCTCCATATATTGTCATAGAGCCCAAAATAACACTCACATGTACTTACACACACAATATCCTGTCAGACATAATGATACACACACATTCATCATATACTTTCATTCACACACATGCAGACGTACACACGTACGTACACACACGTACACACTGAGATTAAAATAACAGGGCAGAAGTGGAAGCGGACACATTAATGATATTATAGTTATTCAAGACGCCACGGTTTCCACGGCAGCCGAGAACGACGGGGCCACTGAGCGATACAAACATCAGTCACCCCGCTGAGTCACACTGGGGTGTGTGTGTGTGTGTGTATGTATTTCAGCGACAAGAGTCTCCCAGTTAAGTCCAATTCACGTCTAACTTGTCTCCTGATGAGGTGCTGTAGGCCATTCAGATTTATAGTCTCTCCCTCTCCTCTCTCTCTCTCTCTCTCTGGTTGGCATGGAATCAGAAGAAACACACCACTGCGGCGACTCCACAGTGAGACACACTGAATGAGTTTGTGTGTTTGTGTGTGTGTAGGTGGGGGGTTTAGGTGATGATGTCACACATCCCGTTTTCCATTGACATAACTTTGGGAATGTTTGGGGTAGAGGGGCCATAAGATGATAATTGTGTTTTCCTTAGGAGGTGTGTGTGTGTGTGT